CTATGAAACATAAATTCAACACAAATTACAAATAATCTCAATTCAACCATTATACATGAATTAAAATGAGAAGAACTTACAATCAATGTTGAATCTACAACTCAAGCTTCATCTAATGTTTGTACAAGAAAAGAAAAAGAAAAGATGAAGAACATCAAAGTAGAAAAGAAGAAATGGACTTGGGAATGAAAATAGGGTCCAAAAGGACCCTAAACTCAAGCCTAAATACACCTCCCCCAACTATAGAAGAACTTAGCAAATAAATAGAAAGATAAAATGGATAGATAGTTGGGATGTTGGTAATGGATAGTTAGGATGTTGGTGATGGATTGTTGGGAAGAAGAAATTATGTAGTGGAGTAATATATGGAGAAGAATAGGAGAATGAGGTGGAAATATGTGTTTATAGGGTGCAACAACTTGATCTAACATGCTCATGGTCACCCCAACCTCATCTAATGTCCATAAATTGAGAAAAAACACATTTTCTGCTGAAAATAGGGGGTTAGCGCCGCTAGGGAATGGTTAGCGCCGCTAAGGGACCTTAATGGCCTCTAACAGCTCCAGTTCAAGCTCTCTGTTGCCCTTAGCGCCGCTAAGAATGGAAGGTTAGCGCCGCTAAGAAAAAACTGCACTGCGCAATTACGGTTTTGGCTCGTTTGGGCTCGTCCGAACTCGGAATTGAGTTCCGTTTTTTCCTACGCGTAGCTAACAAACCCCTCTATCGAGTGATGCTTGAATGGAAAAATTATTCTTAAAATACAATTCTCCCCAAGCTTTTGGCCATCACACTAAAGACGTGATTCGCATGCGACTTCGCGCGGCTTTGCGTTTTGGCTCCGTCCGGATTCATCCAAACTCGAAATCACATTCAGTTTTTTTCTATGTGTAGCCAATGAATCCATCTACACAACCATGATTGCCCGGTCTATAATCGACTCCTCTCGAGACTTCCGAACCTGCACACCAAAAACGAAGAAAAACTGGAAAAACACACGAAAAACACAAAGAAAACCAAAATAGAACAAAACACATAATAAAACACAAAACGAACTAAAAACCACTAAAAGACCTAAAACGGGGGAAAAAGAATGATAAAACAATAACGAAAATCGCAACAAAAATGGTTACAACAGATAATATGGATTTGTGATTGTCTTTTTTATTTTAACAGTTTCATTTTTAACATCGATCAGAAATGTGATTTTTGAAATTATTTTGTTTCATTATACAATAGATTTAGTTTTTAAAATCATATTATGAATAGCAAGCAGTTTTCTAAATGATAAATATGAATAGCACACCATGTAAATCAAATTTTGACAACAAAAATTGCTATGACATAAAAAAAAGGATCATGTATCAGATTTTTTTCCAAAGAAAAAACACATTTTCTGCTGAAAATAGGGGGTTAGCGCCGCTAGGGAAGGGTTAGCGCCGCTAAGGGACCTTAATGGCCTCTAACAGCTCCAGTTCAAGCTCTCTGTTGCCCTTAGCGCCGCTAAGAATGGAGGGTTAGCGCCGCTAAGAAAAAACTGCACTCCGTAACATTACGGTTTTGGCTCGTTTGGGCTCGTCCGAACTCGGAATTGAGTTCCATTTTTTCCTTCGCGTAGCTAACAAACCCCTCTATCTAGTGATGCTTGAATGGCAAAAATTATTCTTGAAATACAATTCTCTCCAAGCTTTTGACCATCACACTAAAGACGTGATTCGCATGCGACTTCGCGCGGCTTTGCATTCCGGATTCATCCAAACTCGAAATCACATTCCGTTTTTTCCTATGTGTAGCCAATGAGTCCATCTACACAACCATGATTGCCCGGTCTATAATCGACTCCTCTCGAGACTTCCGAACCTGCACACCAAAAACGAAGAAAAACTGGAAAAACACACAAAAAACACAAAGAAAACCAAAATGAACAAAACACATAATAAAACACAAAACGAACTAAAAACCACTAAAAGACCTAAAACGGGGGAAAAAAAATGATAAAACAATAACGAAAATCGCAACAAAAATGGTTACAACAGATAATATGGATTTGTGATTATCTTTTTTATTTTAACAGTTTCATTTTTAACATCGATCAGAAATGTGATTTTTGAAATTATTATGTTTCATTATACAATAGATTTAGTTTTTAAAATCATATTATAAATAGCAAGCAGTTTTCTAAATGATAAATATGAATAGCACACCATGTAAATCAAATTTTGACAACAAATATTGCTATGACATAAAAAAAAGGATCATGTATCAGATTTTTTCCAAAAGCAATTAATTAAAAATTCAATCTAGTTCTCGAAAATTATTTAAATAATTTAACAAAAAATAAAAGGTTAATCCCATTTTGAAATGTAATCAACGAATCTGCTAACCAATTTAGCTTAATCTTTTTTTTTTTGGCAGACTCCTTAATAAACGCAGGATATTCGGCCTTCAAAATAGGAGATTTATATTCAGCCACAAAAAAAGGAGATTTATTTGGATTTTGATTCCATATTTTTTATTGTATTCCTAAAAAAAATTGGGAAAACAGATATGCTAATAAATAGCGATTTTGTTAATTTACTATGTTTAGACAATAATTAATGAAATTGGCGGGAAAATATTTCTAACAGTGAATTATGTTAATCCTCATTATATATTAACTAGTACCTACCCCGTGCAATGCACGGGACATAAATATTAAATGAATTATTTTCCGACGACTTTGTTCATTTAAGTCTAAAAATCAATAGGGTTATCATATATTTTCCACTTGTATATTAGGGCTAGCTTGTAAATTAATTAATACATTATCTATACATATTTAATTCTTTTTTATTAGTTATACATATTTATTTCTTAATTTGAAATAAAAAAAAATGTTTCACCAGTTGAATATTAAATCAGCACTAATTAATTTATTAAGCAAGTAAAGACGCAAATCAAGACAATTTAATTATCCAACAATTTAGGGTAATATATAATTATTTCCTTTATTAAACATGATTTTTAAAAATAAAACAACATTAGCCCCAAATTATAGGCAACACATGGTTTTGTTGAAAACCAAAATAACAACATCCTTAATTAATGGGTAGCATTTGATGCTGCCTTTTTTTTTAAAAAAAAAAAGTTATTAAGAACGAAATGTAATTAATGCAAAATGAATTTGACCAAAATTTGACCTGCTATTTTTGAAAAATGATAAATCTTTTTTTATATATATAGATGGGTTAATTGCTAAATAAACCTTAACCTTTTTGCATTTGGCAATTTTATCCCAATCTTTGGGTAATTGCAATATAATCTAAACCTCAATTTACTTCTTGCAAATTTGGGTGCAAAGTGATTGATTTTAGGGATTTGTGGACCGATTTTGTGTCCAAGTCTTCAATTGACACGAGTTTTATGTCATCCATGTAGCAAGTTGACAATTTCCATGTATTTAATGTATATCCACGCACAAAGCCAAAAATTTCACGTCGATGTAAGCTACTGATGATGAGTCTCCTCCCAGATCTTGAGTGAACCGGTAAATATGAGCTCCGATCTATTCGAACTAGCTTCAAATCGACCAGTTTTTTGAAGTTCGACCGGTTTTAGGTTCGACTTGCAATAAATAAATTGAGGTCGAGATTATATTACAATTATTCAAAGATTGAGATAAAATTGTCAAACGCAAAAAGGTTAAGGTTTAATTAGCAATTAACCCTATACTAATAGATATGATAGATGAATTGAAAAAAGTGATACGGTCAATAATGGGATTCATTACAGTAGGGGAAATGAATAAATAAATAAATAAATAAATAAATAAAGTGATAACATTCCTATTAAAAAAATGAACAGAAAAAAAGGAGGTGATTATTAGTGACTATTATATCCATATATAATGAAAAAAAAATAAAGTTCCTAATAAAAAATAAGAATAAGTCAAAATTAATTTCATAATATAATAAAAATTAATATCAAATATCCAACTAGACCACAATTTTTACTTGTAAATTTATGTATTTTTACATAAAAGTTTAAATGATTTTAAAATGTAGAAATTCGGCTTAGGAAAAAGTGTAGGTAAAAGCTTGCCAAATATAACCCACAACTTCACAAGTTGACCATATTTGACCAAGTGTTTTATTTGTTGACCCAATTAGACCAACCAATAGGTTGATTACGTACTATTTGTAAACAAACAAGATAAATATAGACTACTTAAAAAAAAAAAATTAAAATAACATTGAAAGTGACGAAAAATTGGGTTTTTTTAGATAAATAATTAATGATTTTAAATTTATAAATAAATATGAGATAAAATATAATAATTAAAATTAATATGAATAAAAATAATAAATATTAATAATAAATGATTATTAAAAATATGAGTATATGACTAGTAAATTGTATTAAAAAAATACTTATGTAATAACGACGAGTGTTATTTTAGCACAAAAAAATAAACAAAAGCAGATTAAAAGAAACGCTAAAACTTGACTACTTGTGAGACCCTCCAATCTTTCATGACGCATAGTACAGACACTCATTCTTCATCATATGATCTGATCATATCTCCCACCCACCCAACTTCTCTCTCTCTCTCTCTCTCTCTCTCTCTCTCATCCGCAACTTTGGCCACCGTCCCCTCACTCACCTCACCCGCCCAACTTGCCGTCACACTTTTTTCCTAATTTATCCGCCATATCTACATTCCTTAGCTCCTCCTCCTCATTCGTTTTCCCTTGCTCCCCAATCCCTTCTGCTGTTTGTAATTTCGGATTCTTGAGATCCCTCGAGGACAGATTCATGGAGATTACTGCTTCTGGATTTTTGGGGTTGTGAGCTGACGAGGTAAATTAGCAGAATGAATTCGACATGCTCTTAGAGCCTGATTTCTGATCTGTGTTCTGTGCTTCTGTTACACCTCAATTGAGTCATTTTTCTTTGAGATTAGATTCCTCTGTACACCATTTTTGTATCTACCTAATTAAATTCTTACAAATTATTATCAGTTCATGGATGCTACAGTCCGAGGCGAAGCGCCTGAGCTGTATTACGTTGCTGCTTGTCCAACCGATATGAGAAAACGGAGCCTGGAATGGGATCCCAACGAGTGGAGGTGGGATGGCGACCTCTTTACTGCCACACCTCTCAACCGGAGCAAGCAGCTGTTTCCGTCCAATAGCTCCTCCTCGTGTTCGGACGTCGAATTGAATCGAGACAGTTGTCGGGATACTGAGAAGAAGAGGAGTGCCGACGACTGCAACCTCAGCTTGAACTTCGGGGTGGCTGCTGGGAAGAAGACCAAATTGGGTGGCGCCGCTATCTGCCAGGTCGAGGATTGCAGGATCGATCTGACTGAGGCCAAGGACTACCACAGGCGGCACAAGGTCTGCGAGGTGCATTCCAAGGCCAGCAACGCACTTGTGGCCAATCAAATGCAGCGCTTCTGCCAGCAGTGCAGCAGGTCAGTTCCCTATGTTATTATTATTCACCAACACCTCCCTGCTCTGCTGCATATGTCGTCGAGTCTTTATTTCGTGAGGTGGTGAATGGAGTCGGACTGTTGAATTCAAACACTGAGAAGTATACCAAAGTCTTGGAAAAATATGTGATGTGACCTTTTTTTGAGTAGTTACAAAATACTATGATGCAAATTCAAATGTGTATGTGAGCGTGGAGAGTGCGAGAGTGTCCATAAATTTACACGTAAACTAAGTTAACATGAATAGGATATATCAAGTGTCTACAGTAACCAATATTATCGTTTCTGTTTATGCAATTAAACATTATGATTTATTTTGTATGTCCATACATATGTTTTGCTCGTGGTAATAGTTTTTTCCTATGGTTCCAAGCTAAGGGAACTATTCAACACCGAGGTGAGCGCTGAATCCCATTTTCCCATTATCTGGAATTAGCATTCCCAGTAATCAATTGGCAAAAAGTGTGGAGTTGGAATTGAATTTGCATAACCCATCCTATTCCCGGTTTAAATGGCCTTCTTGTTACTTGCCACTGCCAGGTTTCATGCACTACAAGAGTTTGATGAAGGAAAGAGAAGTTGCCGCCGCCGACTGGCGGGCCACAATAAAAGGAGAAGGAAAGCACAACAAACTGACAATGCCAGCAACAACAGCCCTGTCATTGACAACCAGACAAGCGGCTATCTGTTGATAAGTATTCTGAAGATACTCTCCAACTTGCACAGTAAGTCCCTCTTTAAGAAACACTTCAGTTCATGTGAAATGCTCTGCAGCAACACCACTAGGGAAGATGTAATCCAGGATTGATGACCTTCCTCTGATTTCCACGATTTTCAGACAATGATAGGTCAAACAGCAGAGGTGATCAGGACCTATTGTCTCATCTTCTGCAGAACCTTTCCAGTCAAAGAACTTCCCATCTCAAGGAATCTCTAAACTTGCTCAACAATTTACACTCACTGGAAAACTTAGAATTACTATCTATGTTGCTCTCAAGGGGCTCTCTAGGACAAAGATCTATACAGGAACATCGTGCAGCTCCTGTCAACGAAATCCCAACAAATGATGTGGATTTACCTGTCACGTCTCGGAGGCCCGGTATCGTGTTGCATACCCAAGCCAATTCTCAAATTTATGCTCAAGGCGAGCAAACTTCTGGTGGAAGGGGCAAACTGAATAATTTTGATTTGAATGATGTTTATGTTGATTCTGATATTGACATGGACTACATAGAAAGATCAACTGTTCCAGAGAGTGTAGGGACAGTTTCTACTGAATGTCCGACATGGGCTCATCAGGCAAGTCCTCCAGAGACTAGTGCGAATACAGACTCTGCATCTGCTCAATCACCATCGAGTTCCAGTGGAGAGGCTCAGGTGTATGCATATTAAAGTTTTAAGATATAGATAAAAAAAGTTCAGTTGAAAAGGAAGGATCTATTTAATAAAATTCACTTTTATTTATTTATTTTATTTTTATAAATAAAAAATGCTCGTATATGTCTCTATAATCATGCTTGACAAAAAGATGACTCAAAATGCTCTAATTTGCCGAACAAGTAGAAAGATTATAGATATAGAAATTGCATATCCTTGATATTTTATTTATTTTTTGCTTTCCTTCCTTGTTTGGGAGATATCAGTCATACAAGAGTTTTGAGCCTAGACATTTTTACCACTTCAGCTGCTCAACTATAATTAAAACATCTCCATGATAATATTAATTTTTGCCTAGTTAAAATATCTCTCTGATAATAGTAATCTCTCCCTGACTGATGTGGGCAACATTTACAGATTTTCGTCTCGAGTTTTTCTATAAGGATTGCGAGCCCATCTATCCCTACTCAGGATAACTATAAGTTGTCCATATTTTCAATTTTTTAGTTGTTATTCTGATCGTTTTTGCAATTATAATTTGTTCATCTACATTTCCACCTAGATTACGACCTCTAAAATTAAGCTTTCTGGATGAGATACTGATATATCAAAGTTCACGCAATAATTCTTAATTTCAATTATTCAAGCATAAGATACAATGTGATGCATTATTTTACTTCTAAGTTCACAATGTACGAGATCCTTTTTTTCTGGTTATCGTTTAGAATGTTACTTCTTACTCTATTAATGTTTTTTTTTTTTTTTTTATTTATGTCATACAGAGTCACACGGATCGCATTGTTTTCAAACTATTTGGGAAAGAACCTAGTGATTTTCCCCTTGTTTTACGGACACAGGTACGCCGTGACTTCCATTCATTATTTGATATATACATCTCTATATGTTCTTTTTTTATTATTTTATTCATTTTAGTACCTCTTCCAGTCGATTGCTTTTGCTGACAGTTGAAATATGAACTTCCAGATTTTTGATTGGTTGTCTCACAGTCCTACTGACATTGAGAGTTATATTAGGCCAGGTTGTATTATTCTGACCATATATCTGCGTCTATCTGAGTCTACATGGGAGGAGGTATACAATGAAAACATGATTGTGAAGTGTGTCTCTGTCATTACGAACTAAATTTATATGTAAAACATTCTGATTGTTTCTCTCTTTTTCTTGCATAGCTTTATTGTGACCTGAGGTCCAGTCTAAATAGGCTTCTGAGGTTGGCTGATGACGTCAGCTTTTGGAATACTGGATGGATCTATGCCAGAGTGCAGAATCAGATGGCATTTGTCTATAATGGTTATTCTCCTATTGTGCACTTAAAAAAAAAACTCTCACGTGTTACTTTTAGAATCCCAAAACTCAAAGTTACGTATTTGTTTGAGGATATGTTATTGGACGGATTTGGCAATGCAGGTCAGGTCGTTGTTAACTACTCTTTACCTTGTGGAACTGATAGCTATAGCACCATTCTAAGTGTCAAACCTATTGCTGTTACTCCATCTGGACAAACTGAGTTTGTTGTCAGAGGCTTTAGTTTATCTCGACCCTCCACAAGGTATGCAAATTTATATTCCATGTGATGAACTTGTACATGTATCTCAAGAGTGGCAAAATTTGCTTCCAATGTTCCCCAATCTTAGATGTTGATATATTATCTTCGAACATGAATGTTTTCCCATGTTTGTCAGGTTACTCTGTGCTTTGGAAGGAAATTACTTGGAGACTCATTGCGAGTCAACAGAACATGTTGACGGCCTTGAGGGGCAGATTCAATGTCTGAAGTTCACCTGTTCTGTCCCTACAGTTACTGGAAGAGGTTTTATTGAGGTCATTTCATTCCCCCCTTCCTGCTTGTGCACAAATTTGTCCTCGTATAATGTTTCTCGATTTTCACTCATGTTAAAGTTACCACAGGTCCGCTTTGTACTAACCACACATTATCCCTAACATTCAGGTTGAAGATAATGGTCTAAGTAGCACCTTCTCACCTTTCATAGTTGCCGAGTATAATATTTGCACTGAGATCCGTATGCTAGAGAAAGAAATTGAATTGATTGAGATAGAAAATTTACAGAGAGGAGCAGGGAACTCTGGTGCGCGAAACCAAGCCATGGAGTTTATACATGAAATGGGATGGCTTTTCCATAAATTTCAGTTGAAATCCCGACTTGAACAAGAACTTCCTGACATTGGCCTTTTTCCTTTCGATCGGTTCAGGGCTCTTGTAGAATTCTCGGTGGATCGTGATTGGTGTTGTGTTGTGAATAAGCTCCTGGATATTCTATTCTACGGAATAGTGGAAGGGGGAGAGCAGCCTTTCTTGAAGTTTGCTCTGTCTGAGATGAGCCTTCTCCACCGAGCCGTGCGTAGAAATTCAAGGTCAATGGTGGAGATGCTGTTGACATATATCCCCGAGAAAGTAGCCGAGGAACTGCGTTTGGAATACAAAACCCTTGTAGAAGTTGACCAAATTTCCTTGTTTAGACCAGATGTTGCAGGACCCGGAGGACTGACTCCTCTTCACATAGCAGCTGGTAGGGATGGGTCTGAGGATACCTTGGATGCCTTGACTGATGATCCAGGAAAGGTAAATAACTAATCTATATCAATTTAGAAATGATTTACCTCACTTCGAGTGGTTTTATTTTAAAATAGCCTGTGTGGACCAGTTTCGGTCTCAACTTTTTAAAAGCAAAGCCAAATTTGCAGTAGCCGTCAAGTATACGAATGGAACTCCTTTTCATTGTATATTCCACTTTTAAGTTAAATGTTTTTTCAGGTGGGAGTTTTAGCATGGAAGAGTGCCTTCGACAGCGCAGGATTCACACCTGAAGGTTATGCTCGTCTGAGAGGTCACTATTCTTATATTCACCTTGTTCAGAGGAAAGTCAACAAGAATGCAGCAGCTTCTTTTGGTTCCGGCCATGTTGTTGTTAACATATCTGAGACAATTCAGGATAATAGTATCAGCATCAACCAGAAGTCAAATGCAGAAGATGCTTCTGGTTTTGAGATACAGCAAGCACAGAGACCATGTGGCGTTTGTGCTCAAAAGCTCTCGTATAAGACTGGAAGTCGGACTTTCCTTTACAAGCCGGCAATGCTCTCGATGTTGGCTGTAGCTGCTGTATGCGTGTGTGTGGCTCTTCTTTTCAAGAGCTTACCTGAACTTTCCGTGCCATTTAGTTGGGAGATGTTGGAGTTCGGTTCCAGTTAACCTTATGATATTTAATAAGACTAATTTGTTGGGTTTTTGTGTGAATTTGTTGTAATCTTAGAGCCACGGCACTTGGCATAAATGGCTCTCTAGATAAAGAAAAGATTTCAGATTCTGTTAATCTTTAACTTATGCTCTATCATCTTATTTTCTTCGAATATTATTGTGGAAGCACCGAAAAACGTTTGGTGTATTATCTATTGTGTTTATTGCAAAATGATGGTGTATTATCTATTGTGTTGTATTGTAAAATGATGCACTTCTACAATGGACTTGGCGTGGCCTGGTGTACAGTACGTGTTACTTGTACAATGCGTGCATCTAGGATTTTTCTGGTTCTGCTCCAAGCGTGACTTAAAAACCCGCGTTCATAGTCTAACGCAAACTACTCTCTGATGAACCTCTAAAACCTTGATCATTATCAAGGCCAGGAAACTAGAAATGCCTCGTTTGTCCAACTTGGAAGAAGTTTATGCTGTGACAATGGCTTCGATCACTCTCCACGCACAATAAACCTTAACCATTCAGTGCTTTGAACTAAGACCCGACCTTACAATATTCAACTGCACAAATCTTAATAGAGTTGATTCTCATTGTATTAAGACATCAAAATCAATACAGTTCATGGAGCAGCACATATTTTCTAGAGCCTACAGAATTCAGCATTTTCAAAAAAAAAACTCTATTACAGACCAATATTCAATAATATTACCAGCAAAACCTTGTAAGCTGAACAAACGCCTACACTCACAGTTGAAAAATTGCAAAACCTTTTCCTCCATTTGGCCTTCCAAGTTAACAAGAGTAGTTTCCTGAATAATCTTGAATCATAGTATAAAAGAGTATCAGAAAACGGACGTGACTGAAACATTGGATGAGCTCCAGAATCTCTATCTAACACTTGACATCCCATTTGATGTACGGAATTCAATCATCTGCATCCCTCGTCCAGCAACTGCAATCTGATAATAATTTCTGGATTGACATACGCATGATCAGGTACTGAACAGAGAAGTATTGGGGACAAAACCATAACTAACTATATAGTTTTACTCACCTGCCACGTGTTTTAACATCCAATGCTTCTGGCTCTGGCACGTTAATGATTAAATGGGCATACTCAGTAAGTCTATCATGGCCAAGGTTCCAACAACGGACACGTTGATCAAGACCAACAGAAAAAACCCAAATCCCATCCGTCCATACACCTTTGATAGGAATAGGAACACAATAAAAGTTTTCTCAGAGAAACAGTTACAATACAATTATAGCATTTCGAAAGCAGTCCTACATCTTGTAGCAAAAAGTGTTTTTCACGACATAGATTATATTCCAACAACTAAAAGATGTTTGTCAAGGGACTTTGTGGAGCTTATAGGAGAGGAAATTAAACTAATACCAAAAAAAAAAAAAA